AAAACTAAGTAGTTTGACCTTATGGCTTAATTGTTGTGTATACTGATTATATTATGTGCATTTGCGATATTGTAACAAACAGTATACTTTTAAAATTAAATTTATCATGTTCACGAACCCCCCCCCCCTGACCTACCAAGAGCCATACTTCAGTAAAGCTATAAATATTCTATACTTGACTTTCGTTACACGTCACCTACACAATACAGTGTGAAAAATAATACAGAAATCATGTTCACGACCCCCCCCCTGACCTACCAAGAGCCATACTTCAGTAAAGCTGTAAATATTCTATACTTGACTTTCGTTACACGTCACTTACACAATACAGTGTGAAAAATAATACAGAAATCATGTTATGGAACATTATTAGAGAACTCTGATATAGAAAAGAGCTTATCGAATTTCAAGAGCCATGTTTACTGATAACTTCATGTTTATCAAGTTTTTTACACGGCCTTGTTCTGGAGGAAGTGTTTTAACTTTGCTAGGCTTCAATTATTAATAACTTCTAGTGAAATTACGCTAACTGTAATTAGATTATAAAACAAAGGATCTATATTATTAACTGTGAATAAGATGATATTATAAAGAACCTGCAACAATCAGAATTCAATGAATAATTAAACTATATATATTCGTTAATACAAGGTTCGGTTACAAAGTTAGGGAACTTGGATTAGCCTTACATTCATGTCCATAACTTTACAATACAAAATAATATGTAAAAGTTAATAATATTCTAAACATAATAACTAATAATAGTAATGAAACCAATGTTTAAGCATAAAATGGAGTGAGTCATTACTTTATAGAAAAACAGCTGTTTGTTCCCGGGATTCAAGCTTTCAAATATACAGAATTTAAATATATTAGCAAGTTTTAGAAGTACCAGAAGTAGAAACATCCGAACAATGGCCGTCTATAGGGAGAATATAACCATGTTCTGTCACCCGTGAACCTTGACCTTCTAAGTTTGAATCCAAAATGGCCAAATTAATAGATATGTGAAAAAAAAAGGCGAGAAAAAGCGTCTGCACTTAAATACGATTTTTATCACAAAATGTAGGCCTATTTGCTTAACTCCTTTGGTTGTATGCTTTATACGCTCTTTTATCAATACCTAATATTAAAAATATTGTAATAATATCGAGAATTGTTTGTATTATTGCACCCTAGTGGAAGCTTTTGAATACAACAATATAAGTTTTAAAACATTTTTTTCTTGAAAAGATTTGCACACACACACATACATATATTTAAGTGTGGTCGACCCTACCAGTTCCAGTGGTTCAGCGGTAAGTCTACAGACTTATGACGCTAAAATTCGCGTTTCAATACCCATGGTGGGTATATCACAGATAGCCCATTATGTAGTTTTGTGCTTACCTATAACAAAGATAACCAGTTAAGGGTTAAATATTCAGAGTATTCTATATTTTTCTTAAGGGCGTTCGGGAGTCAAATGATGTCAGCACAGATAATACAAATGGTTATTGTAGCCACTATGCTCGTTACGATTCACTGAAAATCAGACTGTAATTCACTCTTCGTTCATCTTTCGAAACGAATGTTTCTAAAACAGGTCAACAAACCGAACACCTAAAAATTAACGATTACTCTAACATGAACGCTCTACACAGTCTCAAGTCGTCTAATCTGTTCCCGCTATGAAAATACACCGATTGCTGTGTTTCTACAATACCTCGTAGTTCTTTAAGTTGAACACGAGGTCTTGTGATTCGTTCACCAACCTGACAAACTAAAATCAAACAATCTTACAATTCGTCCCAGCTGGTAAAAACTTTCAAAATGTTTGAATTATAAGCCAATGAAACCAAATACTAAATAATAAAAGTTGATAGTGAAATAACTTGTTTCTTTTACTACAAAATGTTACTTACATGTATATCTTGCTCAGTTACCAAATCATTATTCTGGCCTACTTCACGGTCACCTAAATCACCGTGGTTTACTTCTTTGTTCGGGTCAATACAATTTAGGTTTGTAGTTAAACTTTTATAAGGTGCTAGTTTTACCTTACGCTTTCAAACAATAAAAATAATTATGCATTCTCAGAAAGTTTCACTATAAACGATTTAGATAAAGTATGTGGACATTGCAAATTTGTTTATATATACAACGATCGAAAGAAAATATAAAACATCCTCCGCGTATAATATTTTTAAAATTTTAAGTGCTGATCTTGCTATTACTTTTAAATGGCGATTGATTGTGAGATTTTCTTCCTTCATAAAGGTTAATTATTGTCTCTAAACATTTTGTGAATAAATTTGCAAAATAACACTGGTCGTCAGAAAAAAAAACTGGGCTCTATATCTTTCTAAAATATTTGTTGTTGTTTTCCACACTTTGCAAAATGTATAATATAAAAAATTAACAAGAAAATATTGTATTGACTTGGTTCTTGTTTATCAGTAAATACGAACTCGCCAGATTGTGCGCCACTCCGAAGAAGAGATATATATAACAGAAAACGCTAATAATACAGAGAACACGACTAGGGTTAGCTACAAAATACTTGTCCCACACATCCAAGTAATCCTTGAATAAAAGGGCACTAAAGCAAGCCTCAAAAAAGCGATGAAAGAAATTTTCCCTTCTCCCTGAAAGAATACGCGTAGATGTCACGAGCCTCCTCGTGCGCTTTCTTCTGAAACTTAGGCGCTGTAAATATTCAGCGTTTTCGTTAGTCATCCTTTATAAAATCATTATCGAAAAGCTTCCTTTACGTCATATCCATCAGCCGATTGCTGTTCTAACCTACAGAATCATTTATTCAGTACTTATCAGTATATTACTCTCGAAATCTCAAAAATGAACAGTAGAGCATGATTTTTTTTCCTTCTCTCTATTCCACACCGTACGTAAATAGCGCAGAACATTGAGTAAATCACATAAAAATACTTGAGTTTTTAAAGGTGTACTTACCTTCTTATTTTAGCACACGCAGAGTAGTAATCCGCTAACACGATTTAACATTCATGTGAAATTGTTTAACTGGAAATCAAGAGCTTACAAAAGAAAGGATTTACTCGAGAGAGTATACGATTATAGACATGTGAATTAGAATTTATAACTGAAGTTACAATGGTCAACAAAAGGGGTGGAGACTTCAAAGGTTGGAAAATATGACTATCCTTTACACCTTGAAGATTGGTCATACACAATTAGCTATGATAAATCTGGCAATACCATTCGCAAACAAACTACTACAGAATTTTGTAAATGACAAAATTTGGCATAAATTTCATTTGGTCAGCAACACGTGCTGCTACACATGAAACACTGAAGCGGGTGTAGTCGTAGAAATATTATGTAATAGTGTTGTGTAAGTTGGTGGGTGACAAAAAACTTCACACATTTTTACTGCTCGTATACACAAACTAATACTAAACATTATGTAATATATTTATGTCATTAAAAGTTCGCATATAAAAGTGGAAGTTTCTTGTTCTGACCGCCTTGGATTCCAGAAACTGTTATCATCATCGTCATTAAGTTTGACGTGTGCCAAAACAAAACTGTAGTTGTCGGATCACGTTAAGTACTCTGTTCGTCTTCATTGCCTTAATTTTAATACATGCTCATCTTCCTTACTTATTTTGCTACAAACATAAAAACAAATTAGACCTTTTTTTTTTTCAGTCAACAATAGCCTGGCGGGAATTTTTTACTACTGACACAACCAATAGACCAACGTCAACAAAAGTATTTCCGTGCTGACACGTTATCACGTGCTAACTTTTTCGCGAATGAAAGTTACTGATGTTTAGCCATTTCCACGTTAGAACAAACTGAAAAATTCGTCAAAAATCAACCAGTTGATGCAAACGCATAGTAGATAAAATTATTAATTAGTTTTTAGAGACCTTAACCGCTACCTCAGACGATGGGGACATTCATACTGTAGACTGTTTCCTAGCTCTAATAAATCATTAACTGTTCTTCAAAATCCCTCACCTGTTTTTTCCTTGATCTCGCAGAGAACACTGAAGAGGGAAGGTTTCATTCGATGGCAGTTTAGTGTATGTTTTCTGGAAGAAGAAGAAAAATATTTATATTCACTTCGGCCACTAGGTAATAGTTCGTAACTTAGTAAGTTACACGGTAAAGTAGGCTTAACTGCAAGCTTAACTACGCAAGGCAACCTAAATCTAAGGAATAGGGTTACTATGTCCACTCTATCAAGAAAACTCCGTCAATATAAGCCTACCTGGCTTGGGCTTCGTCAAGACTTTGATCTGTTATGTTCATTATCTGCTGAAGGATTTCGGAAATGTCATTTTTTATTCCTTCTTGGTCTGGGGCATGTTGTTGATTTGTAGGATCCACGCCATGTGGTTGTTGTGGCATGCCATAACCGTGCTGAGAAACTACATGACCCGCCATGCTGACCGAAGGATGCTGAGAAACTGGATGCATCATTCTTTGTTGATCGCCCATGCTTCAACACCACCCTCGCCAAATATACACAACGGTGTGGCTGTCCGTCTAGCAAAGGCCACACTGTCTCTCAAGCCTTAACGCCTCACCACAGCACACGCGCACGACCATCCATAAAACTACGAGTAGTACACACGCTATAGTAAACCAACTGTAATTGAGTGTTTTGATTGAAATACTTTTGACGGACAGCAAGAAGCTTCGGGGAGGGTTGAACAATAATGCCAGTCAAGCCACTTCGCCATAAAAGATGAGGGTTCTCTGTAATAAGGGCTACGTCAGAGAGAATGATTGTCCAATCGTAGTTAGGCAGCAGAGTCACATTTCACCCTTGGACGGTTGTCAATCACTGTTCATACTACAGTAAAGCCTAGAGTGTAGCTCCGCCTCTTTTGTTGATAATAACAAACGGAACTTCCGGTTTTTCTCATCTGAGCATGCGCTAATTTTTTCAAAATGAGGCACGCACGTATAATTAAGGAAAAATGAAATTAAGTATTTTTTTATTAAAATATATTGATAGTTTGAAAAAATAAATACATCGAAAACAGAAGATAATAAGTGCTAAATGACACAGTGAAATTGCTGTTAGTTAACTCTCAGTTTTATTTTTGTATATTAATTTTGCACACACATAATTTTTTTCAAGTAAATATTTCATAAATAAGAAATTTCAATTGATAAATAGTCAAAAAAATAGTTATTGAGGCTATTATTCGTTACTTAATTAAACTATTATTTCGCTTTTAGGTTTGATTGGCTGGAAATACAATTCCACGTATTAGCTGTAGCTAGAACAATATGGCTCCAGTTTGTAAGAAAATTTATTTCCCAATCTCATTCGTTTTTCTTTTAAGTAGGTGAGTTTCATCTAGATTATTTAAGTAACACTAAACCAACCATATATGCTTCTGTCTAACAGTTATGGCTATAACTTATAGTACTTTCATTTAACTTTTAAGTTAATGTAATAGTGCTTACGATAATGTTGTTAGGCTAATGTAAAGACGTTAACGTTTTCACTTGTTTCCAGCTTCACTTTCAGGTAATAACGTTATAACTTACAAGTTACATCAGTCACAAAGTATTAGTAAAATGATTTATGTTATTTTTCACCAACATATTTTCTTTGGGCTTGAAGTTGAACTTTGATAAAATCAGAATGTCAACTGTTTACATTAATTCCTTACAAAAAGCTGTTTTTTTTTATTGTTATTGTTTTACATAAATCATATGTTAGCAATAGTACTAGTAGGGATCTAATATGCTGTATTATGACACATTAGGGGTAGTGAAAAGTATAACTTAGTACTACTACTGATATATAACTTAAAAAACAACAGCATTTATCTATGACTTTTATTTTTATGCTATGTAACAATAACACCCACTAATACCAACAGTCAGTATTTGAAAAGTTTTGTGAGAACTTAAACTTTTAGCAAATTGATTAGCATTGAGTAAAAAAATCAAAGGATGTGAATTTGTAAATCAGATTGAGCAGTTGTTTTTGGTACTTGATCTGTTGGATATAAAATTCATTAACTTAAAATATGGTTATTCACTTATATGCTGTACATGATATTAATGCATGCTTGCAAATCAGAAAAATTTCAGTTTTAAAATAAGATTACTTCAAAACCAATTCATATTTTAAGTTTTGGTTTTTTTCAACTAAGTGATTGTTCTTTTTTGAGTCACTTTT